CCCCAAAACCCCAAAACCCCAAAACCCCGGTTTACTTGATATTATAAATATTAAGAGATAAATTAATTTATAAATAACAATAGTCATTGCACTTCAACATAAAATGAGTACTGTAATGAGACCATAAGAGCGCAAACAGGTGTTTTCAGCTAAAAGGCTTAAGCTGCCTAAAAGCAATTCAATTGTCAACAACGAGTCAAATGAAGCTTCGCAATAGTCAGCAAGACCTTAGCTCCACAGCACTTATCAATTGCAAGATCACAGTCTAAAGCCACCAGTGATGAACTAGAGCAAATCAATGATTCAAAGCAAGAATGACTTAAACAACTCAAGTCTAGCTGAAAATAAGAGCGCATTCTCGAATGCATAAGGCAACAATAATGATTTGAGCCAAAATCTAAAGTAAAGTCAGCCTGCAAGCTACAATTTCACGATGTTCCCTACATCTAATATAGGTTCCCCTAGAGAGAATCTTATCTATCAACAACTTGAAAACGCTTCCTAATAAAATCTAAGTTCTATTTGGGAAGAGAAAAACAATCACAAGCAGCCAGGTTAAAGTAATCAAGATAATGCTAAAGCATCTTAGTAGAATATACAGTAAGTAACAATAATAATCTTTAATCATACTTTAGAAAATAAATATCTGATTATAAAAAGTAACTTTCAGATGAGTGTTAGCAAACTCTTAAGCAGTAGATCAATGCATTCAAAGAAAGTCACGAGAAAGATTACAATTTACGTATAAACGCACTTAAAGATGGCTACATGAGGGAGTTAAAAACATTCAAAGAGCAGCATTAACAGCAGAGGACTCAGCTTAAATCAAAAGAGAAATTGATTTAAAAGCTATTGAGAATTTGTGTTAAGCATGAGTTCCAGCTTTCAACAGAGGATTACCGATTGTATTTGGAATTCGATCGTGAACCACAACTTAACATGCTGGATCTATCTAAAATTAAGCAAGACTAGCAAAAGAAGCAGTATGAATTAGACAAGATTGAAATTGACACACAGGAGTACATAGAAATGAAAACTAGAATTAAGGATCTAGAAACTTAGAATCAGTTACTTTTGGGTTAAATTAGAATACTAAAATCCTAAACATTTAAGGAAATAGGCAATGCCTAAGATATTCATAATAAAATGCTCAAAAATAAACTAAGGACTACCAAGCTGCTACCAATAATCAGTAACTCTGGAAGCTAATCACACACACCAATGGATTTCAGCGATCAGATGCTAGAGGGAGTGTAAGCAAGATACACTGGCACAATGAGAGAGTAATTTCTGCTTTAGAAAAAACAAGAAATTATTGCAAGTTGAAGATCAACATATGAAGAAAACATGCTTATAAAAAGTTTATAGCACTCAGTTAGTTCCTCTTAATCTCCTGATAAAAAAATAATTGTGGATATGATGAAGATAGGAATCCCTCCCAGGCCTTAGGAGGAGGTGAAGGAGGAGATTGAGATCATTCATAAAGCAAATGTAGATAAAATAGTGTACAATGCCGTATAAAAGATGAAGCAAGAGATGAAACTATTGTCACTCTAGCATGAAAAAGAACTATAAGAAAAGGATGAATAAATTAAGATAGTACAAGACAAACTTGAAAAGTTAAGAGTTGAACTGAGAAAAGCAGTACTTTTATTAAGGTAAAAAAATTAATAACAGCAGTATTAAATGCTTAAAGTGATGCAAAACTCAAACATACAAGATATTTAGCAAGTTGTCGATAAGGGACTTGAGAATTTGTTTGATGCAGCTGATTTAGGCACTCAAAAAGACATTAAAAATCTGACAGTAGAGGAATAAGATCAAGCGATAATAGATATTCTAAACGGAATGAAATAGGCTGCAAAAGAGAGATAGCCATACAATATGAAGACCCTTAAGTTGTAGTTCTTTGATCAGTAGATTGAATCTAGCTTATTGCCAGAAAGTATGTAGGATGTTAGTATGACTCAGAGATCAATGTCTTAATCATTAAATGGCGTAGATGAAGCTTTAATTAGAAAATACCTTGTCAAAAAATCTAAACATCCAGTGATTCTAAAAATGTAGCTGCAGGAGGTATTAAAGAAAATCAAAATGCAAAATAAAGAATCAGCTTATCTTAGTGAAAGTGACATAGATATTGAGAAAACTTTGCAAGTACACCGTCTTCTTTAAAAGAATCCCAATGGAGAGTTGCTGCCTGAGGAAAGAAGTTAGTTCAAAGACCAGATTAAATAATTGCGAAAAATGAAACTTATATAACAATTAAATGATAATAGAAGTAGGAAAGAGATAAAGTACCGAATGAAAAGAAGCAGATTAAATTATGGAGGAGGTTTGAATTAACTTGATTAGACTGCAGTCAATAATACCACTATACTAAAACCAATAGCTTAGACCTTTAGGTCTAAAACACCTCTAATTAACAGTAAGCAAAAGAAGTAGTACCGAAATATAACGATTTAACAAATGGAATCTGATGATATTGGATATGTTAATCCGTAGCATTAATTACAGAGTAAAAAAGATAAGCATTATCAAATTACACATCTTCAGCTTGTGAGTACAGCTCTTGCCCTTAAGAAAATCAAGGCAAAAAAATAGTAAAACATGAATAAGACTTAGACTATGACTATGACTACTCTTCAGCAATCCCCTGAGCTCAACATAGAAAATACCAATGAATCAGAATATGACGACTTGAGTATGAGCTAATCACCTATTAAGCCTATTAATATGGTATGAAATTAAACAAAAAGTATTTATGATAGAGTAATAAATTTATTCAGTATATTTTCAATATTTTACATCGGGGTTTTGGGGTTTTGGGG